TGCCGGGCGAGCGGCGCGGCCAGGGACGCGTGGCGGCCGCCCGCAGAGGTAAGAGGGCGCGGAGCGGAGCCGCCACCGACCCAGGGAACCCGCCCCAGGGTCCCTGCCGGCCCCGGCCCGTTGCACGCGCGTCACGGAAGGGCGGCCCGCGGAGCCTCCTAACGCTTAGTTAACGTTGTTAACTTTTGCCGCCTCCCGCCGGGGTTTCAAATCTGTTATCCTTAACGTTGCTAACGCAGGAGGGCAGGTTTTCAGSCGCGTGCAGAAGCAGTTTGCTGCTGAAATGTTGCTGTTCCTCCTTCCCGTCTRTAAGGTTACAGGGCCATCTATAACGTGATAACGTCACCGCTATCCTATACGCAGATGATTAATGTCCCCCCAGCGCGTGACAAACGTTTGCGTTTCTGCCAGAAGCCCCTAGAGCCCCGCGGCTCTTGGCTGGCACGAGTCTCCCAGAAAGCTACGAGGCTTGGTGTGTGCTGAGTAGCCGTTTATTAAATTCATRGATCATTTGAAGGGCTATGGGGAAAGAACCCATAACTGGATAAGTTCTTCTGCTTCATCATCTTTAGTTCAGCTATAGTTGAAATGTTGTGTTTGGGGTTGAAGAGGGGTGAAAAAAGAAATTTCTGGTAGGTTATGGTAAGTCATTCTAATTTTTATTTTTCTGGAAGTTGTTTAGTTTTATTATAGGATGCCTGTCGTTTGGGGGGGGTTCTCATTCATTTCAGCAACAAGAGGTTGCAAYGCAATTAACTTCAAAAATTCCAAGCGTTCAGAAGAGGTTTGTGAAAAACTTCAACTGGTGAGAAGGCTGCTGGCAAAAGAGGTTGTTAAAGTTAGCACGTTGCTAAAGTTGGCACGTTGCTAAAAAGCATACTTTGCTACTTAAATCAGTAGTCTTTTTCTCAATTCCCAGAGAATATTTTATAACAGAGTTTCTCATATGTTTTGGGATTTTTTTTGGGGTGTGTGTGTGGGTTTTTTGTTTGTTTGTTTTTTTGTTTTTAAGAGCAATTTATGTTGTAGACTGCAGTTGGCTCAATAAATACATATTTTGGTGTGATAGTCCTCCTTTATTATTGCTCACTTGACTGAGGATTCATTAAATCCTAATTAAATCTTTTCCATTAGTTATTGCAACTTAGTATATTTCTGTGCTTTTCACATCTCTTTCTTTGATTAAAGATTGCTATAAGTATAGGTTTATATGGTGACTTGAATACACCATTGCTAAATACTTGGTTACTGTTTTTGAAAAACTCCATGTCAACATGAAAACAGTATCGAAGCTTAGTGTGGGTCTTTAAACACCTAGYGGGAGAAGAGGCAAATAATAAGGCCTAATACAGAAATTAAAATATTCCATGCAAAACACACATCTGTGAACTTTCTTTTACTTTGGAAGTTAAGARCCTCTTCCTGGAGTATTTTTTTTCTTCTGCAAATATCAAGTCAYGTGTTATTTGAACTGTAAACTAGTAGAAGATTATGTAGGAGATACAGCATTCAAGTTTTATTATTCAGGTTTTAACTCACATTCTTTTTCTATTTCTTTCAGTGAAGGAAGCTGGAAGAGACTTCACGTATTTTATAGTGGTGCTTGTTGGAATTAGTGTTACAGGTTTGTTGTTGTTTAACTATATGCTTTATCAGAAGAGATTTTTCATTAATTCTGTCTGGTTGGATTAGTATTCATTTCAGCATATTCTGTTTGTCTTTCAGGTGGTTTATTTTATGTGATTTTTAAAGAGCTATTCTCTTCTTCTAGTCCAAATAAGATCTATGGAGACGCCTTGGAGAAATGCAGATCTCACCCTGAGGTTGGTTTCTGGACCTTAGTCATAAGAGGTTTTTCCTTCTTAAATTATTGTCCCTTTCAAGTCAAAAGTTTGTGCCAGAAATCATGCAGCAAACATACACACTTGTCTGCAAGGCGCTTAGCAGAAAAATAAGAGCAAGATCTGCTTGTGTTTTTTAGCTGGYCAGAGGAGGGTCAGCTTCAAATCAGAACTTGAACTAGGTCAGTGTAATCTATGCACTGCATCTAAGTCGATTAGTTTGCTAAAAGGCAGGTATATGGAGTCTATTGTGATGCGTGCAGTAAGAACAGAGATTAAAATGGCATAATCTCAGGGGGTTGTGCATGTAGAAGAATTCCACTGAAATACAGAAATCATACTGAAGTTTTTTGACACACAGTTCTCTTTCATAAACTTGCATTCTCCTTGACATATCAGACTCACAAGGGGCATTTTGTTGAAATAAAACATACAGCAGGGACAAGAGCTGATCCTAGAATATCTGTTTGAATGTGATACTTTCTGACAACTCAAAACCCTTTTCTCTTGTAGGTAATTGCTGTTTTTGGTGAACCCATTAAAGGTTATGGAGAGGCAACACGGCGAGGAAGACGCCAGTTTGTCAGGTGCCGTTTCATATTTGCCCTATACACAAGCTGTTTTTGCACWGCAAAGACATTCTAGGTTGCCTTGTTGCAAGTTAGATCTAGATTACTAAACTGACAGGGTATGTGACATACCTTATCACTTTTGAATGGAAATGGAAGGAGTATTTCTGTGGGACCTCTTGTGTAGTAAATATCAACATTTTAAAAAATGCTGAGAGTTTTTAGGTGAGAGAGTTTTTGTTTGGTATGTTAGAGGATGTAAAATTGGAGACTGTACTTCTAAGCATTTAAATGTTAACATGTTCGCATCACCCCAGAGTTAGTCTTGCCTACTATCCAAATAGTAGGCACTTGTTTAGTGAGAGATGAGCGAGCARTATTTTCTGAACTTCTAATCATATGTTTACAGGACAAGAAAATAAGCTGGAGAGGAATGTTGAAAGTGAGAGAAGTCAGAGAGAGTTAGGCTTATTTCTTTGTCCTAAGTRTGAAGAGGTTGAAAGAGACATGGGCGCTATCGTGATGTTTGAGCTCTAGGCCTTTGGCTGTTAGTGGTGGATTTCACTGCTGAGTTAKACACCTAAATTCTCTGCTAAATGCAGTGTGTATGCAATATAAAATTCCAATTCTGGGTGCCTCAGAACAAGAAACAGCCAACATGCTAAAAGGAGAGCTGCTCTCCACAAAACAGGATGACTCTTAATAGATGAGGATTTTTCTGCTTTGAAACTACAGTTTCCATCAGGCCAGAAATAAGAGGAGAGATGCTGACTTTCAGGCTGCACAATCCAGGCTGGTTTAAAGCACATTAGGTTTGTCTGCACAGGTTATGTCTTCAGTTGATATTCAGCATTGTCTACCCTCTGCTTTTATTGCTTTCTGGTACTTGAGGCTGCAGATCTATTGAGTATTAGACAGAGCAACTCTCATCTAAACCTTCTGTGAGTGTGTCTGTCTGCTCTCCTGATAAGAGTTAGTTCTGTGTTTTACCTCAACATAAATCTTCCCAGCTCTGAAGCCCAATTGGGATGTTATCTTACTAGGTTTGGTGGGTTTTTGGTGTGGCTTTTTTCTTCTTTTTTTTTTCTTTTTGTTTTTGACTGCAATTTATGCAAGCAGGTTTCATACAGTACTGGATACATAAGCCCAAATASAAAATTTGAAGCATGAAATTGAGCATTTTTGGAGAACATGTTTTTTTGTTGTTGTTTTAAACTTCAGACTGAAAAAAAAATCTTTTGTCAGTCTCTGGGAAATGGTGTTGTTTGAAGTAGAGCTGCTTAACAAAAAGAATATGAACAATAGTTTTAAGCATCTGTCTGTAAAACAAGCTACCTGAAAAACTGGATCTACTGTCAGTGTTTTCCTAGTATTTGATTTCCATCTTTTTGAAAGTCTATTTTAAGCTTTTGAAACCAATGACTTGGTAAGATTAGGTAGAGCTCGTKTCTGTGGTATGAAGATTACTCTAGATATCATCCAAATTGGGATGYAGATTATGTCCCCAAATATGTACAGATTTATTGTGCATCTGTACCCTGAACAGCGATTTACCTTGCTGAGATTCTTGATTTGTATTTTTCCTGTAACCTTCCATATCACCTTAAACTGTATTGAAAGCTTAATTTACAATGTGTATTTAGGTGTGACTAATGGCAAGAAGAGCTTAGTAGTGTGCAGCAGTTTGTAATTTCAGTAGGAAGCCTAAACTGGCAAAGAATTGTAGCTGGAGCATTAGTTTCTGCAAATGATTTGACCTTTCTATTTATTTAGTATTTGGCTGTAAATTAAGTATCAGGTTTTGGGCTGAAGGTCTGATATGAATGCTGAAAATATACAATTGAAGGAAAATAAAATTATTGCCAAAATAAGTTAAGTTTAGAGTAAATCACATGGTATGGCTCAATTAACCTGGTAATTACATTGATTAATAGACTTTTGTGTATTTTGGGTGGGTAACTTTAGTTTAAGTGTCTAGAGAAACCTGCCAGCCTGGGTGATATCTTCCTTCAAGGTCAGGTTCTGAATCTAAAGATTCTTTAGAATAAATGCAGAAAAATCCTGGAATCATAAGCTGTCAGATTTGAGCTTTCTGGGGGAGGATTTGGATATTAAGTTTCTTTCAGTAAGCAGTGAGCACACATAAGCACCTTGTCTATTAACCATTTGTCTAACTTGTCTAATCATCACTGCTTAACCAACTCTCTCCTAATTCTGCTGCTCCCAATATGCCTACTGTAAARCTTGGGAAGAAAATGGAGAAGGAAGGAACCCGTGGTAGCATGTAAGCTATACAATAAACATTGAAATACAGTTTCTCACAAAGCAGCTCCAATAGACAAGAAGCTGAAATTTGAAGTTCAACTAGCACATCATGTGTAGCCTTGCCTGGTCTGCTGAACTTTTGTTCTACTATTTTTAGTCACATTGAATACGTAAAGGATGGACTGAAACATATGCGTTTGAAGTTCTATATTGAGGGCTCAGAAGCAGCGAAGCGAGGAACAGTCCATGTGGAGGTCAAAGAGGTATGTTCACTTGCTTCACAGGCCTGACGAGCTTAATCTCAYGTGAATCACCAAAGAGAAAACCAACCTGAAGTGTCTTTCCTAATTACAGAATCCTGAGAGAGGAAGATTTGAGATCCGCTACATATTTGTGGATGTTGACACCTTTCCTAGAAGAACCATTATCATTGAAGACAACAGATAGCCAAAGGTCCAAGTTGATGAGAGTTGCTCTCCCATCTCCCAAGTTGATGAGAGTTGCTCTCCCATCTCCCTGAGGACCAGATGTGTACCCTGCGTATGGGCCTGCATTGGGGTTGTGCTGCTGCAGGAAGTATCCTCCCAGGGCCTCCATTAAGGTCTTCTCAAATAACAGATATAGGACTTAAGGAAATGAAAAATGAACCCATCACTTTGGCAACTACTTTTGATATAGTAAAATAATGGCATATAAGGAACTTTTTAATGCTAGTTGATAGGTCTACACACGCCAAAACTAAGTCTTCCAAGGTCTGGGGTCTGGGAAGGTTTTTGTTGTCTTTTGCTTGGATTTTTCACTAACATGCAATAAAGAAAGTGATGCTGAAAGCATAGACAAACTCACTGTTTTCATTCTGGGATCCCTTTGTGCAGATAAGATAAAATAAGAATACGTGTTTACAGAAGCAGCAGAGGGCTAACCCAGRACAATCTAAGAATGAGTTGTGGAGACCCATAGCACATAGCTAGAGCTGAAGAATGTTCAATATTAGTATCTTCTGTATAGATTAACAGCACACACGTACTGTCTAGTCCTTCCAGGGTTTGCCGTTCTGCCTCTCTAACTATGGCGGTGTAGTTGCTGTCTTTGCTCCACAGTTTTGGTTTTAGCTAATC